ATGGGATTTAAAAAATATTTCTCACCATGAATACCTTAATCCTATGCCTACAAATAATGCCTAGACTCTCATACATGTGGCAAGTACAAGAAAAAGTTTGGTCGTCACTATTGAACTTTATAGTGCAGCCCCTTGTTTCAGTTCCACGTTTTGATACTTTAAAGATTGCAACTGTGCCATTGTCTTCAATAATTTCACTCATGTAATTAACCCCTTGTGCAACTTCTTCCCCAAACAACTTCATAACTTTGTGTGTATATATCTTCGAAGCATGAGCCTCAATGTCACGCGTGGTCTTCAGAAAAGGCGTAGATGTGATGTTCTTTAAGTCATTTTCTCTCATCTTAAGAAATTTTTTATCTTGCACTTTTAGAGTAGTTTCCAACATTGTGCGCAAGCTTGTATTGGAAGTCACATAATTTTTTAAGTGCTTATTCATTTATTCGCTTCTTTGAGTCGATGACATACAGGATGTGAATGCATCTACCACGTATGCATCAATCCATTGCTCTCAACATCTGTATAATCTGTTGAGCCATTCATTCTCTTGAGGATCATACTTCCCAATTAGAGATTTCCATTATGACTTAAATTCTTCCTTAGTTTCGCTCATTATACAATTCCTGAAGTTGTCTACAAAAGATGGACTCCTTCGCAAGACATGACACAATTTTTCTTTGACGTTTGAAAGTATGTGCCACTTATAATAATGATGTTTGCTTTTATTCAAACTTGTCTCACTGCAGCGGTCATTGCAAGATTCTGATCGGTGATAATTATCAAATATAAATGCAAACCCAAAAAATGTTGTGCTAAGGTGGTGATTCACTCCAAGTATGGGAGCAAAAAGCATGCCAAAAGAGTTTGTCTTATATGTGGTATCAAAAGTGACCACATACGAGAAGTGGTTGTAGAACACCCTAGACATAGCATCTACCCATAATATGCTAACAATATGATTTTCTTCATCTAATTTCACCTTATAAAAAAAGATGGATTCAATCTTTTCATATCGATTAACCATTACATTGCATGGTTCCCATCTTCCCCTTTAAATTTTCTTCTCTTGCTTTCTAATTGGTTTTCGATGTCTTTCTGTGTACAAGGGAGATTATCAATCCTTCCATCCTGCTCTAAAAAGATATCATAGATATTTCGAGACTTTACCAAAGCATAGCTCATAGAGTTTATCATTGTCTTTGTTGCATCCGATATTGTTCGGTGTGATTGGATGAGATGGGCTTTCCTTGGAGTTATCGTGATTGTGATCCTTGACAAACCTCGTGACAACCCACTCATTATTGGTATTTATGCTTATGCACATTTTCGCTGCATATACACACATTGATTGAGGGATTTTTTTGTAGGTACCACTTCAGTAGCGCTACGGAATCCTTCCTTGGAAAATATAAATTCCCTAGCAGCTATCTTTCTATCTTTATTGTTGTGAGTAGTTCCCTTTTTGACACCAAACCCATGCACCAATACAAAAGAGTTGTAAAACTCAAATACATCATTTTCAGCGTCGAATTTCATTCTTATGTAGGGTTCATCTATTTCTGACCCCTTGGATGTCGACACATGTTCCTCATGTTCTGGATTTGTGAACTTATTGGGGGGTGGGGTTGTAAGCAAGGGATCTTGCTCCATGGGCTCTACAGTATCCACCATGTCGTCATGCTCTGACCATGTGGGGGATGCCACACTTTCTGAAATGGTGAGGTCCATCTCAGGTACTAAAATTACCCTACACAGAACACAATTTATTTGTCGATTAATGAATGATATGACAATTACCCACACTTCACATAATTAAAAGACATCTCTAAGCAATGGTGTTGAGGTCGAGCTCTAATTTGTAAAATGAAGGAATTATCAGAAAAATGAACTCTGATGTAGAATACCACTAGGGTATATTGTATAAAATGAATCTTTAAATTCCAGATTCTCAGACTTGCGACCTCTTTTCTAGAAGATTACACATTGATTTCACTTTGAGCAAAAACTTCATGAAATTCAGATGCAGGGCTCAGGACTAAACCAAAATGGCAAAGGATGGAGATCAAAGGACCATGTTAAACACTACCGACCTAACATTCCATCTAGATTACCATTCGATTTGGCAAAAATTCACCAAATTTCTGAATAGTAGATATGTAAATTTCTTTTTACAGTGATCGAACGTAAGAGTACACCAGTTGACAAATCTACAACATTGATACATCATTTCCAGATGCACCAAAACTCTTATCAATTTAATAATAATAATAATAATAACAGTGAAAACAACCTATCAATTTAATTTTTATTTAAAAAAAAAGCTCTAGAAATGTGCATCATAGATACTGATTACAAACCGAACATAAAAAATTTCCATCATAGAGAAAGCAATACAAATCATGCAAATCCTGATATCAAGAATTCTCAGAAACTTCAAAGAATCATGTCATTTATCCATAACCTGTAACGATCACACATTCATAGATTACTATAAAGTAGTATTAAAGAAAAAAAAGAATACATGCATTCACAGGTCATGCACACTGAAATCAACCATATCCTGCAGCAATTTCACTTTCACGAGCATGTACTTGTACTCAATCAGACGTTGTAACACAAATGGAATCATAGACCATGAATACCCATAATCACATTCACAAACCATGACCACATTCACATACGCATGCATAAATGAAGAGGCAAAGAAGGGTATTTTGCCGATCCTAAGGCAATCGAGTGAACCTGATTTGCAACGCCGGCGGTTTGGGGGATTTTAGTGATTAATTAGCGCGAAGAAATCTGCAACACCGGCGGCTTGCTAGGGATTCCAATAATCGATTAGGGTCTTGAAAGAGAGAGGGAAAAAAGCCTCTGTAGAGAGAGAGAAGGCTCCTGCGTAGCCTATGAGGAGAGAGAGGAGGTAGAGAGGGGAACAATTGAGAGAGAGAAAGAGGGAAAAAATGCTTGTCTCACTGGGGAGGCTTCGTGAGACTGTGTAGAGAGAGAGGAAAAATATGCAAACAAAGAGAGAGGGAGGGAGAGACTGTGTAGAGAGAGAGGGTAACCTTGTCTCGCTGGGCAGGCTTCACTCGTCTAGCTGTGTAAAGAGAGAGAAACGGTAACCTTGTCTCGCTTGGCAGGCAGGCTTCTCTCGTCTGGTAAGGGAGGGAAAGCAAAAAAAATGGGCATCGCTGTTGAAAACTATCCCCAAAATCACTGCCGTTATTCGTATAGGTCACCC